GGAAAGAGAGAAATTTCTGCTACTTATCTCAAGTACTATTGCTTCCCGGAAAATAATTACAGAGTTTTCACTGCAATTTATTTCCAGATTCTAGGGCACCATCACTGTAAGATACACCCTAGTTTTAATAAGAGCTTTCAAGAGGAAAAGAAAACTCTATCGAGTACTTGTCAATCATAAAATGCGCTCCAATTAAAGAAAGGCTAAAATATGAAAAAGCATCCACCTTAGAATAAGTGAAAAACAGCTATGGAAATTCAATTTCATAGCAACTCAGCTTTTAGTATTCGCCATAGAGGGAGGGCCATGAGATCCCACCCTGGGACCAAAGGCAAGGTCATAAAACCTGGGACCGAGATACAGAAAATGGGAGAGATGTGCTTTTCTATTCCCTAGGCAAGAGGCACGGAGGGAGGAGCCATGGCCTTTGACTACTGTGGGTTCATATCTCAGCTCTGCTGTTTACTAACCAGCTCACGTGGCTCCTTCATTTCCTCAACAGTAGACCAGGGATTTCTTCAGTCATGCAACAAATAGTTAGCATGAGCCTAAAATTTCCAGGCACAGTTCTAGACGCCGATGACACCTAAGGTCCCTGTCCTCCTGGAGCTTATATTCTGTCAGTCGGGACAGAGGGGAGGTGGGACACAGATGAGGAGACAGACAAAATAAGCAAGATTATTCCAGAGAGTGAGAAGTGCAGGGAACCAAACAGGGGAGGTGGGACCGTGTCACAGGGAGGCAGCTTCTCTGAGGAGGCAGCATTTGAGCTCAGACCTCAAAGAGCATGAAGAAGACCACTCCAGAGAAAGGAAACAGCCAGTACGAAGGCTCCAAAAGAAGGAGCTGACTGTGCTTGAGAAGCGACAGAAGTGTTTGTGTGATGACAGCGGAGCCAGCAAAGGAGACAAGGGTGAGAGAGAAAACCAGGGAGGCGGGGAGGGCCAGCTCACTCAGCTCCTGTGGGTGATGGCGAAGAGTTTGGTTGTGTTCTAAATGTAAAGGGCAGTCTTTACATTTTTGTTTTAAAAGTTCTCTCTGGCTCTGGTAATTTATGCATGAGATGCTGGGGTGAGATAATAATGCCTATATCGTGAGGTTGTCTGGGGATTAGCTGAGAAAATACCAAGGAGCTGGCACAGTGCCTGACCCCTCATGTGTGCTCCTAAGTGACCACGAATAATTGTAACGTAAGTGAAACTCTGTGCATCCGACTTCATCCCTGTTAATACATTGCATTAAATTAGCAGCTTCAGAGCCTGTCTCCTCCACAAGATGGCGCTTCCTGACAGTAGATACTGTGCTGTATCCATCATGGTATTCTGGGGGTTCATATCTAGTCGCTGGTGTTTTTTATATACCGAGCGACAATGGGCAAGTCAGGTCACTTCTCTGAGCCACAATCTCCCCATCTGTAAAGTGGGGCTGAGAATATCTCCTGATTCTACTTGTTTTAAGGTAGAAATGAGATACAGGAATTTGCTACAAGACCTGTAAAGTGCTACCCAATTCTCTAAATTTAAGAAGCAGCTTCTGTGTTGTTACTGCTCACTTACATCCCTGTATTAATATTTTAGCAATTTAAAAAATAATAATAACCACATGGGAAACCATGAAGGAAAAGAGGAAACTGTCATTGCTCTTTGTGAGAAGGTAAATTAATTCAAAATCAAGTTGGCAAGATCTAGTCCAGTTGAAGCTTTTCCACATCTAAGAAGAGAAGACTCCCCCATATGTGCACAAGGAGCAGGGTATAGGATGGCAAATGCAGCATGTTTGCAATAAACTCTAATGTCCATCGAGATAAGAACTAAGTAAGTTAAATGCATATATTCAAGCAAAGGAAATAAAACCAACAGAGATGTACTGGATTCAAGGTGGGGGACAGAGGTATCGAGGATGAGGCCCATGTTTTAAATTTGCTTAGCAGAACCATTGCCTGAGGTAGGCCGCAGTGGAGGAGGGCCGGGGTTGGGGGTGATGATCATGCCTTCTGTCCTGGAAGAACCTCTGATGCCTGCATGTGGATGTGCGATATGTCCAGTTGGACAGATGGTCTGAGCTTAGAGGAGAAGCCTGGACTGAGAAATCAATGCGGGGAGGGAGGAAGAACATGGTCCGCAAGTAGATGGTGAGCGTAGGTGAAGCTGCCGAGGGAGAGAGTATGGAGAAACAGAAGAGCACTGGTCTTGAAGTCTAGGACTGGTCTTGAAGGCACAGGTTTTTTTAACAGGTTTATTAAGGTATAACTGACACACAATAAACTGCACACGTTGAAAGTGTCTACTTTGATAAGGTTCGACATATATGTACACTCATGGATCCATTGTTACAATCAAGGTAATGAACTGGTGTTCCTTTGCAACCCGTCCATCGCGCCTTGCTCCAGGCAACCCCTGATCTTTAACGGAAGATTGGTTTCCATTTTCTAGAATTGTGTGTAAATGGCATCATACAGAATGTAGACTTTGGGGGTCTGGCCTCTTGCAGTCAGCCTCGCTGTTTTGAGTTTTGTACATGTCGTTGTATGTACCAAGAGTTCATTCTTTTTTATTGCTGAATAGTATTGTTTAGACACTCACCATTTGATGGGCATTCAGGTCATTTCCACCGCGGGGCTACTACAAATAAAACACCTGTGAATATTTGTACAAGTATTTGTGTGGACATACACTTTAATTCTTCTTGTAAGCATCTGGGAGTAGAATGGCTGGATCATATGGTAGGTATCCGTTTAGCTTTTAAGGGAACTGCCAAATCGTTCTTCAAAGGGAGGAGACCATTTGACATCCCCCACCAGCAATGTCTAAGAGTTTGAGTTGCTTGTAATCCTTGCCGATACTTGGTATGGTCAGTCTTTGTATTGTAGCCATTTAATTTTAGCCATTCTAATAGGTGGATGGTGCTATTTCATTGTGGCTTTGATTTGCATTTCCCTAGTGATTGATGACGGAACCAAAACTTTTAGCAAATGAAAGAAGACTAAACCTGTCCAGGAGACCCAAATGAGTAGATAGGGATGCAGGAGGAAAACCAGAAAGATGTAGCATCACAGAAGTCAACAAGAGAAACGATTCAAAAAGAGAGCGGTCAATACAATCAAATGATGCTAACGGGGAGACTGAAAATTCTCTTTTGGATTTAGGCCTTTGTTGGCTTTATCAAAAGATGTTCCAGTAGCAACTGCTTCCAGCTTCCAGCCTATTTTCATGTTTTCAGAATGAGCACCATCGCACTGCCCACCAGGGAGCACCCTCTCCTCAGGTGTCTGGGTCTCAGCTCCACGAGGCCTCTCTTCTGAGCACCCCTGAGGTTAAAGCACCAGCTGGTACTGCTTTGCAGCTGTTCTAAGTTTCTGGGGGTGGAGGGTCACAGGCTCTATTCCCTGGGAAGCCAGCTCAGAGGTCCAGATTAGCGTGCAGAAGGTTTATTAGGCAGGAACCTCAGGATCATCACTACTGGAAGAGAAAGGGAAGAAGCAGGATTTGGGGAGAGAGAAGTCGGGCTATGGTGAAGAGCTCTGGAGCTGGGATGGCCCATCGGTGTTGTCCCCACTGGTCACACCCTACATGAGCCAGTCACTGGATGAGGCCTTCCCCAGGAGCGGGGTTGTAATCCTGGGTGAGGTGACTCTTTCCAGCTAAGGGCAATCCTGTAGATGGTGAGTCCATGGGGCTGTCAGCCATCAGAACCAAGGCAGTTTTACCTCCCCAGTCTGGAAGCAAGATCTGGGTGGCACACTGAGTGTTTCTCCTCCAAGCTTCTAGATTCTAATCACCCCAACCTCTTCCCTGGGTTCCCCATCTAGGATGGGAAGCCATGCCCTACAGTTACTGTCTCTACCTTACTTCACAGCCTCTTTCGTGCTCCGGCGACCTCCAACACCTGTTTAAGCAATTCTTTTTACTAAACTCTCTAGTGTTACTCCAGTTTTCCCAACCGATACCTTCCTCCACCTAGAGGACTCTAACGCTGGTGGGGAAGGGAAGGGAGGGGTGAGAAACCCACACATCGTGATTGAGTCTGTGCCCAATTGACTAGGTGGCATATAACCCAGGAAGGTCAATTTGAGAAACATCAGGATTATGTTTTGCTTTCAGCTCATGCATACTCCCGGAGTCATCTGAAAAGACCAACATTTTGGTACAGAAATCTGGCATGAAATAATCAGCGAACATGCATCCCGTGACCTCCACATGTCTGCCCTGCAGGTAGGACGTGCTTGAACTGTCTGAGCTTTTTCGAGCCTGAGTATAATCCATTGACTGTATTTCTAACATATTAATGCACTAAATGGCTCCCTCATGATCTGCAAATGTTTTAACACAGTCGCAGCCTGAGTGCCTAACTTCACGTAGAAGTGACTCAGGCTCAGAGATAATTGGCTGAAAGGCAGTATAAATGGATAGCGAAGGGGCAAGAATGAATCCATGATTTCGTCTCTCCATTTTTTCAGACTGCTCCAAATCTGATTTTCAATGAGACTAAAATGCTAGAGGCCAAGACCAGCACATCCTGAATAAATGGATCTTGCCAGTTAATCGTGTCCGTCGCGACATTTATACATAGTCTTAACGGCTGTGGTCTCACCTACCTTTCCCTGGCTCTTGCCACCAGCATTAAGAAGTAATCAGAATGCGACCCACTCCAGTCATTCAGAGCACATTTTATTAACACAGAAAGACTATGATTCACCTTATTAATCACACAGGGAGAGGTTAGACCCCGGTAAGCACCACTCATGTAGTATACCACGAACTTGATTATGAAGAGGAAACAAAACACGTCATTATTACCAAAAATTCCTCACTGATAACAAGTCTCCCCCTCCCCCACAAAAAAGTATTAAAATTTCCAAATATACAAATCTAAAAATATGTTACAACATTTAACATTAAGACTCAAGTTTATGGTTTTAAATACGCTTTAAAATATACTGAAGCGTCTCTCCTTCCTGATTCTCCAATGACGTGAAGAAGCTCTTTTTATTGTTTTCTCCTCAACTTCTATCCTCTTCTCCAGCCTTAAGTAGAACGGGGGGCTGAACAGGTGCCCGAGGCAGTGACTGGGACGCCTGCTCCGGAGACCGCCTGTGCTGGCTCCGGGGGTGGCCGTCGCTACTGGGGGACGCCTCCTTCTGTAGGTTCGCCATGCTGGTCTTGGCGGCAGATTCGATCCAGGGGTGCTGAAGAACCTGGTGGGCCGTGTAGCGCTTTTTGGGGTCTACCACCAGCAGCCGGCTGACCAGATCTTTGGCAGCTGTCGAAGTAAGAGGGGAAAATGAGATGATGCAGGTGGTTCTGAATTTTCCTTCCTACATGCGAAATGAGGACACAAACGTCCACGTTCGTCCCACGCGCTCCTCCAGAGCAGCACTGGCCAACAGAACTTTCTGTGATGATGGAAAGCATCCATATTGGGGCTACTGAGCATTTGAAATGCAGTTAGTGCAACTAAGGAACTGAATTTTTATTGTATTTACTTTTAATTAGTTTAAACTTAGATTTAAATAGCCACATGTAGCTAGGGGCTACTCGGCTGGACAGAGCAGCTCTCGAAGACGTTTGTTCATTTCTCTACAGCCCAGGGGCCAGGTCTACCGCTAATCCCCAGGGTGCCCAGAGCGAGAGAACCAATGGAGGCCACATTTCGTATCTCTGCATGTTTTAAATCTGTAAGTCAAACGATCAGGTTGCTAAATATGTTCAATCTTCCTTCTTAAGTGGATAAATATGCCTTCATGAAAAACATGTATAAAGAAATTAAGTAGGAAGAAGTGTAAATTTATAATTAATTTCATTTTCTGCCCAAGACCATGACTGTTTCTAGAGAGATGTAGTGACAGCTAGTGAGCTGGGTGGCAGGCAGGAAGGAGAAAAGATTTCTCCGTGGCTTGCTGGCTTTCCCAGACTGGCCTCTGAGCCTCCTCTTCCAATCACTCAAGAATGTGCAGGGATAAAAAAAAAAAAAAATCACCCACTTCTCAGTGCCTTTACTGGGGCTCCCGCTTGCTCAAGATCAGCTGCTCACCCACCAATCACCCCCTGCTCCACACTAGTGTCAGCCACCCCTTGAGCACTAGAACCCCAGGATTTCTTCTACCCCACTCAGTTCACCCTGGGCAAATCCTGCCCACAAAGCACCCTGGCACCCACCCAGACCCATCGTTGCTCCTGCAAGATCCTCAAAGGACTCACGAGGTAGAAGGCCGGGTTCAAACTGGGAATTCTCAGACTCACACATACACATGTGGACAACTGGACACCCCGCCAACAGATCCACGCTCTCTCTACTCCCCTCCCCAGAGAGCCATCCCTTGGGTACCCTGTGGCACTGTTGGGAGAGGCTGGGAAAAGAGGTCTCACTGGTCTCGGAAGTGGGCCTGGGCCATTTGGATAAAGAATTCTGGGGTCCCAATTAAGTGGCATAGAAGGAGAGACCTGGGTTCTGGGGGGAAAATCCCCCAGTCCTTCAGTCTCCTCACTCTGTGGGGAGGGGTATAACCATAGCTGGGCCCTTTAAGGCAGTGGCGCCCAACCTTTTTGGCACCAGGAACCAGAGCTCTTATGAGAACCCAATGCCCGAGGATCTGAGGTGGAGCTGAGGTGGTGATGCTAGCGCTGGGGAGCGGCCGCAAATACAGACGAAGCTGAGCTTGCTTGCCTACTGCTCACCTGCTGTGTGGCCCGGTTCCTAACAGGCCAGGGATCAATACTGGTTTGTGGCCCAGGGGTTGGGGACCCCTGCTCTAAGGTATGGGGCCCAGAGCAGGGGCCGCCCATGCCCAAATCTAAAGATAGTGCTGCAGAGAACTTTCTAAAATGATTTTTTGTCCTTCAATTCCCAAATTGTCACTTCCTAGATCAGCTCAAGACCCCCATCCTGCCTGCGGCAAAGCCACCCCTCTCCCTACCCTATTTAAGGGGAAAACAATGAAGCCTTCACCTTTCATCATCCCCAACCCCAAGGGAGGAGACAGAGGCTGGGGATGAGGGTAGTTCAATCACATCTCAGATGGCATGTTTATGGGAAATCGAGGGGAAAAAGTAATCACTCCTATTTTACTTTTTAAGCTAAAGACTCAAATACTCAAAACCCCTAAATTATCTAGTTCTACGTTTTATAAGGGCATTGAGTAGCACAGACAAATCAGTAGACACAAGGGGAAAGATTCCATTTGAGAGGGCCAAAAAGGAAGAAGACCACGTATGCTTCTGCTCCACTAAAAATAAGAGACCTCACCCCTTATATTTCCAACCCCCTGTGCCCTGGTATGCCCCTACAGGACCCCTGGTAATTTATGAGTGAAAGAAGCATTTCCAATCTGTTCAATTCACAAACACTTCTATATATGAGATGGCTTTATCTTTCCAAATGAGGGTTATACATTTCTGATGTTTTTCAGTTCTGAGGTTCTTTGCCTTAGAGGAAAGTATTTACTTGGTGACCACGACTAGTGATTAGACTCTTTCATTAAATCTCAGAGCAAGTCATGTTGTCAGAGTGCTTCATAAATCTACGTGAAGCTTGCAGGAAGTAAAGGATGCATCACAGTTTGACGTCAGCCCACCTCTGTGCCAGGTGCTATTGTGGGCCCTCTGCGTGTCTTGTTACACACCTGACCTAAAGCCTGATGTGCAGTCAGAAACCAGGAGGGTCTCCAGCTAAACATCCTCACTTCTCCTGCTTGGGGAAACCCCAAATCTCACCGTCAGAGATATTGTCCCAGTAAGGGGCCAGGAACTCGAAGTGGCCCAGCTGGATGATGTTAAAGAGCTCGTCCTGGTCCCTCTCCGGGCTGCGGAACGGGGGGAAGCCACATAGGAGGATATAGAGGATCACGCCTGCCGCCCACATGTCTACCTCCAGCCCGTAACCTGTGCAACAGGGGCAGAGACACAAGCAAAACTGAGATCAGGCTGGATCACATGCAATGAGAACAAGAGTGGAAAATTGTAGGCCGAGGTCACAGCGGACCTCAGCTCTCAGCGGACCTCAGCTCTCAGTGGACCGCAGCTCTCAGTTAGTAAGAGCCACTTCCAATCGCAGGGCTGTGGACTCCTACGAACACAGGGTCCACACCAGTGGGACTCAAAGTTTGGTCCTCAGATGACTGCTGCTTTGTCATCCTTCATTACTGGTCTGTCATAAAAGGAGCATAGAAATTGAAAGTAAACATCTGGAAACTCCTGTAGCCATTCGACGTGGCCAAGACATCCGGCTGCACAATCAAGGACACGTCTCATTGAACGGAGCAGCTCGGGGTTGTGGGACACATGGTAAGTCACATGTGGCGTGGGTTGTGACCTAATCACATGCTGTAGGACTTCATATGGGTCCACACGGTACTGGAAATTTTAAAACCTGGTCCTTTGCCAGCAATAGTTGGAGAAACTGTGGTCTCTACCAGCAGCCTCTACTTCCTCCTTACTCATTATCTTCTCTCACCTTAAAAATATTTACTTGCTCTTTTTATGATTGTAAAAAGATTGATATTACTAGCTGTATTCCCCACATGCATATGTACATCTACATTTTCTTTAACAAAATTAGGATCACATTGTACGTATTTTATACCTTAGTTCATTCACTTAATATTATATCGTGGTATTTCCTATACAGGAGTTTCCTAGGAAAAAATGTAAAAAGTATTCTTCGAAAATATGATTTCTAATAGCTGTTAGTATTCCCGTTTTATAATGAGTCCTCTGCATTGTAATTTAAGTTTTCTAATTTTGTTTACAACTTCTTTATATATTAAATATCTGTACACATCTCTGATTATATTCTTAAAATAACTCTCTAGAAATTAAATACACAAAGTAATATGCAATAAAGCTTTTTGATACACTTTGCCCAATCATCCTCCCCATAGTTTGTAACTGCAATATACACATTTTCAAACACTTTCTAATTTTTTATCTTTGGAAAAGAAAAACACTTGGCAGCCTTAATTTCTAAGTCAGATACTCACTATTAAGCCCCAGAGCAATGCTGTCAAGACACAAATCAACAGAAAATATTAAGGGAATAAGTCACCGGTAACCTCTTTCTAGCCAACTTTAATGGCCTTTCTCAGTTCTCAGCCATGTTTTATTCTCAGGAGAGTCTGATTCCAACTTCTTGAACTTTGCCCCCTCAGCCTCTGTGACATTGTACTGTCCTCATCCTCTTCCTGACCCTGGCTGCCCTGTCCTCTGCTAATCTCTCCACTCTTCTCTTGTCCCCCAGCTCTCGGCCTCCCTCACGCATTTGCCCTTGGCCAACTGCTGGCGTCACTGAGGAGCTCATTCCCTCATCCACTCTGGCTGACATCTCTGAGCTGAGGAATCCCAAAACCACACGCTCAGCCCAGTTTCACCTCCTTGCCAACCAGATAACTCCATGGGTCCATCCTGATATCTCTACAGTGTCAATGCGTTCAAATTTTAACTCATGCCACCTCAGCTCCCAAAACAGCTTTCCTTTCCAACACCCTATTTTGGTTGGTGCTACCAACAAACATTGTAGTTCCCCTAAGATTCATATAGACTATTTGCTTTTCTTCTTTTCTCATCCAGTTCATGAGTGCCTCCATTAAAATGTCTATGGTTGCTCAGTGTTCTCCTGTCTCATTGTCACCACGTTACCATGGCTACTATGCTGGTCACACTGAATCCATATCCCTCTGCCCGGCCTCCCCAGTCCTGGGGAAACCATGCTCAACCTACTCAACCAACTAAACCCCCCTCTGCAACACTGAGACTAGTCTTCTCAATGTTTCTACCGACCTCCATGCATATTCTAGTCTCTTCATCTTAACTTCCCTGATGCCTCTACTGATGGGAGACTATCTCTCCCTTCTCCCTACCACCCTATGACCCATCCAGAGCCTTCCCATCTTATGTAGGTGCCTAAACTGATTCCTCCTGGAGTACTTCAGAGGCTAGACAGTCATTCGTATATTTGGAGCTACGTAATAATAACGATTTCCTTCTTATACCCTTTATAGAGTGTGTCACTCAAACAGTTCACTGGATCCTCATACAACATAGAAACAGGTTATAAATATTATACATGGGATTTGAAATGGCACCCCCTTTTTGGAGGAATTTTTAAGCCAATTGCCATAAGAACTGATTCACATCTCTCCCATCAGAGGTAGCCGTGGGTCAGTGGCACAAAGGGCTTTGCTTACATGAGTTCCCCACTCAGTTATCCACCATCTTTCCACCTTACTGTCCCATACACACACACACACACACACACACACACACACACACACGCTACCAATCCCTTCTCTGCAATTAGGCCACCCTGATGAGGAAAAAGTTCTCATGCTTTGGTCAAGGAGACTCACCTCAAATATTTCCATTAAAACCCAAGTGTAAGCTTAGCACCAACTCTCTGAGATTTCAGACTGCTTCATATTGAAAAATATAAAATAGTAAAAATGAAATATTGGTTAGTAAGTGAGCCAGAGTCCCACAGAGCAAAGGCATAGCACTTACCTTTCTCAGACAGAATTTCAGGAGCTACATATGTTGGAGTCCCACACACAGTAAATATAGGTCTCACCACATGTTTTGCAAGGCCAAAATCAGCCAGTTTCAAACTGATAGATTTGTCTTCATTTCGTTGAACCTGTAAGAAATCAAATTCCCCAAACCACCAAAATTATGATGAGAACAAAGAAAGAAAACTAATGAGACAACAAGCATAAAAGGTCAGGATAACAAACAATAAACCTACACGAGCTTACAGTTTAGTCCAACACCGATAAATCCAATTTGATCTCAGTGACAAGTGCTCACATTTTCAACTAAAGAACCAATGAGTTTGATGTATTGTGCTATCCAAATTGGTAGCACCAGATTGTCACAGATGGCTATTTAAATTTAAATTAAAAATTCAGTTTTTCAGATGCACTAACCACATTTCGAGGGTTCAACAGCCATCAAGGACTAATTGCTATAACATTGGACAGTGCAAATATAGAACATTTCCATCATCCCAGAAAGTTCTATTGGGCAGCACTGGTCTAGATCGAGGATCAATGATATTCTGATCACAGACTAGCTTTAGTGAATGCCTGTGGGTCATGCAAAGTCTGAGCAGAGGAGAGAAAAGGGAAAAGAACCAGGAATTAGAATTAAGAAGTAGAATAACAGTGGAGGAATGTTAAGCAAAGTCCCTCATTTAGAGGATGGGTAGTTAGTTAAGAACCAAACAGAACGAGTCTTTAATTCCAGTTCCAAGATTTACAGCTAAATGGTCTTGAGCAATTTCTTTGCTGACCCGAACCTCTGTTTACTCATTTGTTCAAAAAGGGGGCGGGGGGTGATAGTTTCCAGCAAACAGGCTTATGTCAGGAGTTGCAGTCAATGTCGGTAATCTACCTGGTGAAGCATTAGCCGGAGAGAGACTAGAGGCCCCAGACTGCCTGAGACTGAGGGGTTTCCAGGATGTGGGACTTTCATTTTTTAAAACTTTCCTTTTTAAAACAGTCTTGGGCAAACCAGGATGAGGTGGTCGCCCTAGCTTGCACATAATAACTAAAAATGAATGCTGTCGAACTGAGATCTATTCCCATGTATCTGAACTGACAAACTGGGTTCTAACTGTTAACGTTTTTGCATGAAGATGAAAGAAATCATCTCTGATTCTTCCTTTAGACCCCACTTCCACTAGATTTTAGAAAAGGGTAGAATTAGTCATTTTTTTGAAAAACGGCAAAGACAGTTACCCTCACCCCAAAATGAATATACGGAACTGACTGCTCTCCCTTGTTCTCATCAAAACAAAACTCA